CAACGCTCTATCCACTGAGCCAAACCGACCAGGGCTAGATTTTAGATTTTAAAAAATCTAATAATAAGTACAGATTAAGACTTTGAGATTGAAGTTTACAAGTTTCAAGACTTGTAAAAATACTTTTTAGATTAGTACATAAGTCACAAAACAATGTATAAAAATCAACGGCATTTAAATTGGTGTCAGTTGATGTAATGATTCAGTAATTAAACTGATCAAGTTTTTTAAAAGATATAATTCGGAGTGTAAAAAGTTTAGTAAGACTATGGTAGTCAGAAGGACAATTTCACTTCAGAGATGTGTATGTATTTAACAAAGTGATTGTTAGTGGATTTTCCTGAAACTCCCAAATGGCACAAAGTATTTTTTTATTATCTTTCATAGATACATTACATCCCTTGTTTTTATATAGTGGGAGAATCTAGACTTTGAATTTTATATATTGCCCTGGCTGGGTAGCTCAGTTGGTTAGAGCATCGTCCTGATACCCCAAGGTTTCAGGTTCAGTCTTTGGTCAGCACACATACAGTCAGCAACCAATGAATACATAAAGAAGTGTGACAACAAATTGATGTTTCTCTCTCCCCTTCTTCTCTCTCTCTCTCTCTCTCAAATAAATAAATAAAATAAAACTTTATATAATAGGAATACATAAACCTTGCCTTTGAAGATACAGGAGAGTTTGAAATAAAACGGTAAAAGTAGGAATAGAACGGAAGGGTGGGAGGGAGAGAATGCCAAAAAAATAACATGAAAAAAGAAAACGGATTGATTCATAGATTTCTGCACTTAGGGGGACAAAGGAAAAGAAGTCTAAGGTGGCAAGTGTGACAACAAATTGATTTTTCTCTCTCCCCTTCTTCTCTCTCTCTCTCTAAAATAAATAAATAAAATAAAACTTTATATAATAGGAATACATAAACCTTGCCTTTGAAGATACAGGAGAGTTTGAAATAAAACGGTAAAAGTAGGAATAGAACGGAAGGGTGGGAGGGAGAGAAAGCCACAAAAAATAACATGAAAAAAGAAAATATGGATTGATTCATAGATTTTTGCATTTAGGGGGACAAGGGGAAAGAAGTCTAAGGTGGCCCAGTGTTGAAAGTTACAGAACCTTGAGATGATGACCCACTGACATATTTGAGAAAGGTAGTGAGGGGGTGGTCTGTTTGGGGAAAAAGATTATGTTTTTTTCTCCCCAAGTCTATTGCTTCTAAACGTTCCTCAAGGAATTTTTCAAGACCTTTGAAATCTGTGTTAAGCCTCCAAAAGTAAAAAGTTAAAAATCCAAAGCTTTAGATGGCTAATTAAAAAATTTTAGTCAATTTTCCTTAATTAGGTAACAAGTGCCTCATTTTCATGTAAATTCGATGTTTTTAACATCAGATCCCAGTAATACTAGTATATAAACCGGACCCACAGAAAGCAGCCCAGGGAGTGAAGAGATCAGGACCTTCCGTGAGGTTCTGCCGCTGATCTCTGTGGCAAAGGGGATAAGTGTTGTATAGATCTAAGATTCCAGTATGTCCTATGGCTACATATATGATCCCTGCATTTCCTCCTAGCGCTGCAGTTCTAAGTCTCCCTCCTTAAGCAATAGTAAATGTATCCGTGTGAATTCAACTTATCCTGCGGTTGAGCTGCAGCCAAGCATTTGTCAGGTGAGTCCTGGGATCATTTCTCCCCAGTTCTCAAACCCTGGAGCGAAACCCACTTGACATGCTTTTGGTGGCCTGGCTGTGGATAGGATTTGAAGGACTCCAATCCTACAGGTAAGATCCTCGACCAGGAAATGTCCAAAACAGGAACACCAAAGGGTGCCACCTCTCACAGCCTCCATCAGGACACACCAAAGGCCAGAGCTGCAAAGGCGCGCGGGCCTCGCACCTGCTTCTTGCGGGTCACGCTTTCCACCCCGTAAGCCCGCGCTTTTTTATTTCACTTTCAGGCCAGAAGCTCTTTTCCTGCCTAAGCGGGTGTGGGCCCAAGTCTCCGGAGATTCGCTCGGACTTCAGGGAAGGAATGAGACCCTAAGAAGTGGCCTAAGGGCTCCCCCAGGATGCCCAGGCAGCCGGGAAGGGAGTGCGCCGGGGTCGCAGGGGCGCGCCCGGGCCACGCTGGGAACTCTGGGC